GTGAGGTGGGAGGCTTTTACGCCCTGGGGTTAAGAAACTGAATTGCTTTTAGTTCCTGTTTTCAGGCACTGCATCCAAGGACTTGTTCCTTATGGCCTTTGCAAGTAACGTGTGCAGGTGTCTGTCCATCCCCTTTACCGGGTGCCGTTGCTCTCCCGCTAGCCACTTTTGCTGCAGTGTGGTGGGACGCCACGTTTCCATGTGGGCAGGGTCGGTCCTGCCTGTTTTCGTGGTAGTCCAGTTGCTTTCGTCATCGGGTCACCAGTTGCTGCTGGAGCTGTTGCACCCATGCCCAGCAGTTTCTCGGGGCGCAGCAGCCATCCCTCCAAGCTGGCTGGGGGTTTTTTATGTTTTAAAGGTGACGTCTCTGGACGCAGGCCAGGTCGCAGCAGGACAGTGAAGGTGAGAGCCCCTGCTAGGGGCCTGGAGGAGAGAAGGCTGTGGAAGTTTGGGGATTGTTTTCAGTGGTTTAAAAAGGAGAAGTTGAATAAATTGTTCTTAGGGTGGGGAACAGGAAGACAGAAGGATTTGGCTTGCAGGGTAAAGGGTTCAGGTGAACCTGGGGAGCCCCTCTGGAGCGCACAGGGTGGATCGCTGTTACTGGGACTGTGGTTTTCGCACTGGAGATGCTCATGTTCCAGCTCTTCAAGGTAATGTACAGTAGGAATGGGATCACAGGTCTGTGTGGCGACTCCAAAATCGAGGAAGGTCATGGTTGATCTGAAAGTGGTGAAGGCTCCTTGAGCAAAGGATTCCTGAGAAGGCAGAGCGGAGACTCACAGCTGCAGCTCGGGAATTTGCCTTGCTTATGAAGTTTGTGTCACTCTGATCTGAAGCGCTAAGTAAATGAACTGTATTTAAAAATATCTCCTCAATAAATGGCCTTGCAAATTAACTTTCAGAAGATGAGCTTGCCTTTATCCCATCTTGATGATAATTTTAATTATGGTTAGTAAATTTCAATCTGTATTTCAAGTTTATTGTCTTACACCATCATAGCTTCATCCTTTAACAAGACTGGTAATAATACAAGTGTTTGCTGGACAAAGCACTCTCCTAGAGATGTAGGACTGATAAGAAAGTGTAACTGAGTCATTTGAAACCTTTCCTAAGTGTATTAAGCTCTCTCCTAAAATCGGTTGAAACTTCTGCTCCTTTTTTTCCTACTGGAAGGCTGTTCTGAAACCTCAGTTGGTTTCCAAATGAAATATATCCATAGGATGTTTATACCCTTTGATATTGTGCCAATATCTACTTTATTGCTTAAATACTTCTTCCTCCTCTCTGGTGCTTAGTTGTCTGTGCTATTTATAGTATGCAGTCATATCCCATAGCTATGTGTCCTTTGGCTGGTTAAGCAAGCATGCAAGTCCTCTGAGAAGACCAGTTATCTTTTCCCCTGATCATCCTACTAGTCCTCTTCTGTCCTTGCTCCAGCGTGCGCTTAAGTCTTTCCTGGACTGAGTCGTCCGGCATAGCACATAGCATCTTAGGTGAGGTCTGACCATGTTGAATGGTGTGCATCCATACTGATCTTCAGTATTTTCTCTCTTTGGAGACTGCCCTCTATAAATTGCAGTGAGGGCTCCTGCAGTGTCCTTCCATCTGAGGATCAAAGGAAGCTCTAAAGCCATTTGGGGGGAATGACAGGCCTGGTGGGTGCCACAGTACATGCTGTGTACATGCCATCTTTGTTCCGCAGGGCCAGGGCGGAGGAGCCGAGAGAGAGCGGAGCAGGTGCTCGAGCAGTAGAGCCCTCTGTGCCGGCACGCAGGGCTGAAGCCGAGTCTGGTTTCAATAGACAGGACATGGCAAGTGCACGCAGCAGCCAGCATGTGGTGAGGAAAAATCATGCCACTGCTTCATTATTGATCACGATTGATCACCCTGCAAGTAAAAGAAAGGGAATGCCATTTAGATGCAAGCACTGTGGTATGTAGGTCTGCAAAGTGTTTGCCGATGGGGGAGACTTGCAAAGATATGCCGATACAGTAAACCCAGCTGTAGGCCTTCCAGTAGCCCATCAAAAACACCCCTGTTACACCACCCAAAGCACTGATGTGGAATAAGCACATTCTGTCACTTCAGATTTGTCCAAAAGAAAAAAAAAGGCAGTGGATTAACTTTGTGCCAGCAGGCCCTTTGCTGCATCTGTCCTCTGCAGCTAGCATTAATTTCAGTGCCTTGCATCTGGCTGATGCAGTGGAAGGGTGCTGGAGTGGCCATAGTTGATCCAGATCCCATTTGTGCTGCTGCCGGGCCAGGATGTAGAGAGCTGCGGTATTTAATGATCACAGAACCACAGTCAGAGGTTCAAAGAAGGTTTCTGGCAGCCAGCTCTGTACTCAGCACAACCTGTACAGCCAACATCACTGAAAAATATCTCATTAAAAAAGCTACATTTGCAGTAGTTTGTGAATTTCCAAAAGAAACTTGCAATTGCAAGTTTTGTTGGAGAAAAAAATGATGCGTTTTGTTCCTTTTAGCTAGGAGTAGTTGCTTGGTTCCTTTTCACTTCCATACAAAACTTCTGGAAATGGTATTTTTTCAAGTCAAGTGTCTGCTATCCTTCCATTATGGATTGGGATATGCTGGCAGCCTCGTTATCTTTCTGTTGCTCTTTCTCTTAGAGAATTCATGGCAAAGCATTTTGGAAATGCCTTAGTGTTAGCAACACGTGCGCAGTGCTAAGCCCCCCTGGACCCTGCCCAGCTGGACCTTGAAGCTGCTGCCAAAGATCTGGTGCTGGATATTTTCCTATAGAAGTTATGGGATAGTGCCACTCTTAAAAAAGCTAAGCTGGAAACACTGCCCCAGGATTCTTTTTCCTCTATCCCCTTTGTTTTTACTCTCCAGGAGATTTCACAATTATGGATTTCAGGTACATAAGCAGGTGGCTGCATTATTCACTTCCTGGTGCAAAATTAACCTTTCATCTGTGATAATCAGGGACAGCGTCTAGGGCTGAGAGAATTGCCAGCACCATAAAGCCAATCTGGCAAAGTAAAGGATGCGCTGGGTACTTTTAATGATGTTTGCTCCCTCTTCTTTTAAGCCTCGTGATTGCAAGATGTGGTATAATCTGCCCTTCCTCTTCCACAGCTCTTTAGCTCATAGGAGTGCAGACAGGTACCAGGTATGTGTGCCTGTCTGACTGCTGAGGGAAAGGACAGATAGATGTACAGTGATTCTTAACCAAATTCTTGCCTTCTTTGCTAGCCACAGGTCTGCCTCGTTCGTACCCGAGAGCCTACAGATGTATTTCCGAGGGTCAGGGACTGAGGAAGGTTGCAGGGAGTGTCTTGTGGGTTGGAAAGTGTTTGTGGGGTAGTTCAGCTCTCCAAGGATTTCCTTGCAGTGCGTACTGCGGTGCTATCTCAAACATTTATTTGACCAGTAACACATGTGCAGATACTGATATCCCCCCTGTGTCAATCAGCCAAAGACAGGACAAGCTGCTCTGAAACCAATTGCTCCATTATTCCCCAATCAGGGAGTAATTAGTAATCCATTATTTTCTACTTATGCCAAATCCCATTGCCAGTCTCACGTGCTAGGATGGAAGAGCTGCAGATGCTGCCGCAGCATTCATTGCCTTTGCACGGAGCTGACTTTGGCCAATCACACATTTGTTTCTTGGAGCCAGGTTCATGACGTAGCAGAGACACGCAGAGAACTTTTCAGCTGTCATTTTTGGAAGACAAGAAACTTAATATCAGAGCTAAAGATAGGGGCATGGTCAAAGTATTCTTTCAGCCAGCTTAAGATAGATTCTGCTCAAGTATTTTAGTTAAACTGAAGACTTATAGCAGGATTCAGCCTGCGTTTTATGATTGTTTAAATACAATGGTCTTTTTAATCACTGTATTTGAGCAATTTGGTTGGAACTAACCTTTTTGCTCTCTTTCTCTTGCTTATCCTCTTGGCCCTTGCTTTTAATAAAGTCATGTCATTTGCTAGGCAAATGTTAAATACCATGGAAGCTTCATATGATAAGAAACTTTAAAACTGTACATTTAAGAATCTGGCAAGGTGAGACTTGTAAAGAAAAGGAACATCTCTTATTAGACAAACTGATCTAATTGGAAAACGTGGGCTCACTTTTGGGAGAAAAGCAGCTCCCCAGGTCTTCGAGCAGGTTTGTTGTACGTGCCGGGTGCGCGCTGTCTCTTGAGCACGCTGATGTCTCCCTGGACACAGTGGGAATCAGTGATGTTCCTGGGAGGCAGACTCATATCCTATGCTATTTTTGTATGTTTTATTTCACAGGTGCGCAGTAACAATATTAAGTTTGGGCCTGGGTTAGATCCTTGTATCTTTATATTTACTATTAAGAAACGTTGTAAGTGGTACAAACTGTGGCGCCAATCTAACTTGGAACAACGCAGGCAATAGGACTCTACCTGTCTCCTCAAGAGGCTGCAACCACACAACAAGCTTCGCCTCAAGACATGTTTCCAATCTGAAAAAGCAGTCAAAGACAAAGATCTTCCAGTAGAAAAAGTTGAAAAATCAAGTTATTTTTTAAGGTTGTAGGCAGAAGCTTTCTCACATCTGTGATATTGCCTTCAGATCTGTAGGCCTGAAGTATTTCTACAAGAAGGAGTAGAAAGATGCAAGAAGGAGTTTTACTTGCATTGATGTTGATACTAATGATCAATAATAGATAAGGATAACGTAGAGTTTGTAACAGGACGATCTGAGATTTCTGATTTCCTCCTCTGCTTTTCAGTACTAAACTGATTCCCGTTTCTTGTTCCGATTCGTCTGGAGAGCAGCAGGCCTTGCAAGCCTTCCAACGTCTCACTGATTTATTTTTTTAACAAAAATGACATAGATTAAAAGTTGAGAGATTCAAAACGATGTAATGATCGCTTTGTGTAGCAGTGTCACGGCACCACAGTGACAGTGCCAACTTCAGGGTCCTCCCCTAGGCTGTGGCAGCCCTGAGGATGCTTTCAGTTTAATTGCAGTAATTGCACTTGTGTTTCCTTTGCCAGCTGGTGATGGAGTTTTGTGGCGCTGGCTCCGTCACCGACCTGATCAAGAACACAAAAGGGAACACTTTGAAGGAGGAGTGGATCGCCTACATCTGCAGAGAGATTTTACGGGTATGTGTCCAGAGTGAGATAGGTGTCCTGTGTCATCTCACTGTTGGACTTGATACTCAGAGAACATGTAAAGCCTCTGAGGTGGCTCTTGCGGCTTTATAGCTGCTGCACTGCCATAGACTAGAGCTGCTTCGGTGCTGGTGGCCATGAATGATTCATGTGCTTGTATGATGCATAATAAATAAGCACTATTTAATGCCCTTTAGCTTCGTTAGTTCCCTGACTTTTAACCTCCTTTTCCTTCAACAAAAATATAATTTCCTTTAATATTAATAGGCGAAGGATTTATGAACATTAGAATTAAATTTTCAATTAACAGAAAGGTAAGAGCTAATAAAGTCTGTGGAAAGAATCTTCGTGATTAAAAAATCCCCCATGTTTTCTCAAATCCGCATGTCTCTGGCATTAATAAGGATGCTGCAGCTTTTATACCCACAAGGTAAAGCTTTGACTGGAATGGATTAAAAAGGGCCAGGCCAGAGTTTCATATGCTGGCACCTTCAGCAAAGGCTTGCTCGCGTTTTGTGCAAATGAGGTCAGATTATGTGATCGTAATGGTTCCCCCAACATTAAAATCTGTCACTCTGTTGGAACATCAGTTATATGGACATTTCAGTGTCGGGAAACCACGCTTACACAGGCTTATTTTAAAGGTATGAACTCTCTGAGCCTCTCTCGTAAAATAGTCCTTGTCAGGGAGTCAGAATGCAACTGCGGAGCAGTCCAGGGCCGCCGTCCCCTGCGGCCGCCTCTCCGGGCGGTTGTTTTGTGGCTGGCGGGCCGAGGGCCTGCGGAGGGAAAAACCTGTGTACTGTTTCCGATGTTGCGGAACCTGTTGTAATTTTGAAACATTATATTTGATCCTGCACTGCTGCGGGATTTGCTGAAATTTGTGAAATTTTTGCTTTGCCTTCAGTGCACAAAGGATCAAAGAGCCTCTAACTGAGTATAATGTGGGTAAAAATTGAATGCAGCAGGGCTCCTACGCATAACTTGTTCCATGATGTTGTCCCAAGGTAACAAGCATAACATGACTAATAACTATCAGCAGCGATACCAAAAAGAATATTCTTCCTGAAATATGAATGTTTAATGTGAAATGTAAACCTAATGCAAAATTAGTTTTTAAAGTGATCTATATTTTAAGTAACCTATGCTTTACTTAGCTGGCAATATAGGTGGATGTTACTTTGAAAGTGAAATGATGAATGAATGAAATAAAAACGTAGGTTGCAAAAAGAAATTAATGAGCTAATAAAAAGCACAATAGAAAAGCTAGTTTACCTTTAGCCTCCAAGACAAGCTTTTAATTTGAGTGATATCTCTATTAGGGATATGTGCAAGTTATAATATTTGTATTTGCATGGTAGCTTTTTTTAATACAAGCTTTTTATATATTGGAGTCCCGTTTATTGGACCAATATAAAAAGAGAATTGTTTTTTTCGATTTCTGGATGATGGAAACACAGAAAGGAGACAAAAACATTCAATTATTTTTGCCACACAAATGACTCCCTAAGGCAAAAATGCACATGGGAAAAAAAATGCCTAGAGATGCTGAGGAATTTGGGTTAATATGGGTTCCTGCCGAAACTGAAGGGTTGGTCTTAATCCCTGTAGAATTGACAGTTCTTTTCTTCGTTGTAGAGAGCACCCACTGCTGCATGTATAGCCAGTAAGTGGATGTTTCACTTGCCGGGTATGTCCTCCCAGCGTGTAACATAGGACGGTATTTTGAACGCGTGATAAACAAAAGCGTTTTCAAGTGCTTAACTCCAACTGTGAAACTTTCATTTCTGCAACATAATTGGTTGAGGAGGAATGTCAGAAAATAACGTACTTTGAGCTTGGATTCCTCTAACCTTTCTCTGAATTCTCTAGGGTTTGAGTCATCTACACCAGCACAAAGTAATTCATCGAGACATCAAGGGACAGAATGTATTGCTGACGGAAAATGCAGAAGTTAAACTAGGTAAGAGTGGGTTAGAGCTCTTGGAAACAGCAAGTAGGCTGGCTGGAGAGAAGAAACAAAATTGGTAGAGGCTGGGTAAATGACTTGGAGAATGGGGATAGATACAAAGAGCTACTGTGCGTTTGTCTTTGTGCCAGCCTCAATAATATGACCTTGGATGTTGACTGAGTGTTATGCAATAAACTGTCAGTGACTGATGATCAGGTTCTGCAGGCAAAGAGGTACTTGCAGCGGTGTTTTGGATAGATAGTTTGGGTAGCTCTGCTCTCAGATGCAGGTTGCACAGTCATGACCATTTTTTCATGCCTCAAATTCAAGATTTGAATATGTGCACCCCCAGATAACAGTGAAGGCTGTTTCCCCACAGCTTCATAGTGATGCCCCAAAGGATGATAATCCCCTCCATTTAATCTGATAAAGTCCAGATTTGTTTTCCAAGCCAACCTGTAAGAGAGCTCTGTTTGCAAGAACTGCTTGGAATTTCATATGCAGCGCTAATCACTCTTTGGAAGACCAGTCCTCTACATGAAGATCATATGGAAGACAGTAGATGAGCACAGATGATGTGCTGACATCCTCAGTTGTCCAACACCTATGCTTTTAAAGCTGTCTTTGTGCGTTTTAATTTACGCCAGTGACGAAAGACCCCTTTCACAGGTAAAGTGAAATGGAAGCCTTGTCTTACCATGTCTCTCTCTCTCTTTACAGCAGAATAAAAAGCCAGCTTAACAGATGGCCCCACCAACTCGTTTGGCTTTGTGCTGGTGAAGATTCCCCTCCAAGGGGAAATTCTCCAGGGCAAATCTCCAACCATTAGGTTGTACAAAGTGAACTTAGTGGACCATAGAATATTTTCTCATTGATTTGATTTCATCAGTTTTTGCTTCATTTTGCAGCTCTGTGCTTGACATTTCCCTATGGGCCTTTGTCCTTAGCCCTCAGTTTCTTAAGTCGTTTGCCTGTGCCATTTCCCACAAGAATTTAGGTAGAAAAATGAGGCATCTACAAATATTTGGCAGGCTTTAATTCAGATGAGAAAGCATAGAACAAAGGCTCCTGCTTGTTCATGTTTCTAACCCCGTTTCTCATTAGTATGAGGGGTTGTGATTTCTTCTCACCACCTCCTGGGAAAGAGGAAAAGGCACAAGGTTTCTTACCAAACTTGGAAATCGGACGATCAGATTCATCTTTGATTGACCTCTGTTGGTCTCAGCAGAGATCAAAGAAGAATGTGGCTGGCTCAGTGTTTCTCTCTTGATTGTGCAGAGAAGTTGGCCTGAATGAACTTAATATAATATTATATGTTTTACATTCAGCAGAAAACTTTTGCTCAGGTTTGTGTCTGACCGTAGGATGTCCTGTTGTTTTTCTGATCCACAGTGGATTTTGGTGTCAGTGCCCAGCTGGACAGAACGGTAGGCAGGAGAAATACCTTCATTGGGACTCCTTACTGGATGGCCCCTGAGGTCATTGCTTGCGATGAAAATCCTGATGCCACTTACGACTTTAAGGTAAGGATGACCGCATTCATACTCATTTATGCATCAGTACAGATGAGATCTTTGCAAAGTCTAAAACGCTCACTAAGATGGTAGTCAAAAAATTGAAACTGCCAAGAGACTCAGAGCAAAGATTTTCTCTATGTGCTAATTATCTGTGCTTGAAATTAGAGCTGTGATCATAAACATGTGAAGAGGGTGCTTGGTATGAGCTCTCGTTTTATGTCCCAATACCATAAATGTGAGCACTCAGGAATTTAGTATATGCTTGCGGCTTTGCAAAATACATCAGGAGGCAGTGTGTTCTTCTGCTTTCTGGTAGTTAGATTTTGGGATCTGGATGCAGGTCCATCACGAATCTTTGTTGTGCTCTTCATGTGTCCAAAGTTACTGGGAAGGAGTCTTTGTCCATGCTGAGAAAGGTGTCAGACTGAGGCTTTCTACCTGCTATTTTGCTTTTCAGCGCTAAATGTTTAAATACTACAGTCAAACATGCTATATTTGCTGTTTTTATTCCGGAGAAAAGTCAGGTCGGATTTAGAAAGGGCAAAATCACATCTTTTGGCCTGCAGGCTGGTACTCACACAGAGATCTGAAGGTCGCCACACAATCAGATATTTGGGGGGTCTGACCTACTTTTCACACATCTCTGTTGCCTGTTTAAAGTTTATTTTTGGATCAATGGCAGCACAACATTGCTACTGATTCCTAATGTGGCACTGAGGACTGTGCCACATAACAGGTTACTGAAAGGGTCATGATTCCCACCTGACCATTCAAGCTGCAGTGAGGTCTGAGGTTTAAAGCAAAGCAAGCTTCATGTGATTTATTCTGATTCTGCCTTACTGCAACTTTCTGGACGTACATCTGTAGAGGTGTCCCTTGGCTTTGGTGTCTTGCTATTTGAAGTGCCTAGAACTTGAATTTCTAGCTCTGAACCCGCTAAGGTCCTTTCAGCATTTCCAGAGAGCAGAGCAAGACACTAAAGCCTAAGTTTTTCAGGGAAAAGCTGAGAGTTACATAAAGCTTGTTGTGCCTCTATTAATGTACATGCTGAGGGGCTGCTTTACAAAGTAATGCTTAAAAAGGATTTTTGGACCCTTTGGTGCGAGGCTAGGTAGCTGATTTTTAACAGTAGGACATTACAATATAATACTGTCACAACACACTATTGTGATATGATTTGGGGTGTAATTACAAATCTCTCAGAGCATTTTTTTAAGAGATGAAGGATTTTAAAACGACTAAAAGATGTTTTATTATTGTAGTTATTTAAGTGTATCAGTCAACTTTTGAACTGATCATTTTCCTGAGAGCAGCTATCCGTTGTGAGTTCATCCTCAGGGTTACAGAAATCGTTAATGATAAGGGCATGCAGAAATAGTTTAATCTGCAATTATTCAATTCCCTTTGATTAACCAATTACAACAGGCATTTCCTTAACTCTGCTGGTTACTCTGTTTTATAGCAGGGCTAAAGCCCACACTAGCTGCTCTCATCATGTCTCTACTGACAGCACTCTCACTCTGGCTGTGCAATGCTCTAATTAATCACAGCGCTCCTTTATTTTATGCACCGTTGTTAGGCTGCCATTTATTAGACACATCGGAGCAGATTTAACAAATCGATGGGCTCCTTAACCTGATAGCTGGACTCGCATTATGTTGTGTATACATGTGGTACATGTGCAACATGAGCTGAGGAGCTCAGCGAGGGGTAGCAACTCCCCGGGGCAAATTTCACTGGCTGCAGTTCACAGTGCAGAGCCAGGCTCACCTCGGCTGGGACGCCCTCTGTGCAGAGCCACCACGCAGCCAAGCTGGGTAGGCAGCAGTATTCAGAGACCCAGCTCCCATGCAACAGGAGCTGCCGGGAACAGAGGCTGCAGCAAGGCTGAGCAGCGCTGGCACCTTCTCCCGCTGCCCTCGCGGACCCTATCCCAACAGCTGCTCAGCCTTCCCTTGTCGGTGCTCTGGCTCAGGAAATCAGCTGGATTTGTAAAGGTTGTAAAAATAAGTGGTTCACCTGCGTGTGTGATCGTTTCCCCTGGAAATGTTTTTTGGCTTGTTGGTACTTGATAGATCCCATGTTAGTTTTCATGATCCAGATACGCTCTGGAGAGATTTCCTGCCATTAAGGCACTCAGCCATGGAAAGGAGAGTTTGAAATTCTCCCCTTCAGAAAGGGTGCACTGGTTGTTTATTCTTCCTTTAAAAAAAAAAAGGGTTTCTGTCTTTATAGGCAACTTTTTTCCCTCAGAAATCTCTGAGGTTTTTCTTTTTCCAGAATAAGTAGGGCACTTAATATGCAGTTGACTGATGAACACACGCTGGGATCAGAATCCCTCTGTTGTCCCCAAGGACCAACATTCATCGCAGGCTGGACGCTTTGGTCTCTGAAGTTGGCATTGACAGTCTTCCCTTGACTGGGGATAAGAAACCAGCCTGATTGCTGCTGACACACACAGCGCAGGGTTGCGGAGCTCGTGGTAACGTGGGAGCCGCTGGACATAGCCTGTACCCAGGGTCGCATCCCTGCACCTGATGCTCTTGCTTTGAAGCAGGGAAAAAATGTAAACGGCAATTTTGTTAAAAGGATGCAAATCAGATGCTCTCAGGTTTAGCCAACTGGCTTGAAATAATGAATACAAAAGATGAGAATTAGAGAATGAAAAAAAGAAATCCTCACAGGCTTAATCTGTGAGACAAAAAGCCTCTGATCCCACTGTTTTCTTAGCCAGAAAGAGATGCCTGTGTCACCTATGGAAGGATGCAGTAAATACCTCTTCACAAAAATAAGCCACTTTTTAAAAGAACAAATAGAAACTCCCCATTGTTGAAGCTGTTTGTTGGTTTTTCCCCCATTACTCTGCTTTTCTTTAGAGATATCTTGCCGATAAGCTTAGAATCAAAATTTAAAAAAAAAAAAAAAAAAGAGTTTGCTTCCCGTACCAAGTCAAGACAGTTCACATATATTAGCACAGTTTCTTTTTGCTGGGTGGACTAAAAAGCTTCTCTGACTCCAAAAGAAATTTGAATTCCAGATCGGTATATTTTTTTGCTGAGTTGTCCGCCTTCTCTAGGAGACCTATGGAGGTGATAATCCTTTCTATATTGCTCCAGTTTAAGATCACTTGTCATCTTGCATAGAATACTGGGCACCTTAATATGGAAAGACATACTAGGAGTTTGGAAGGAGTGCAGCGGCGACTGAAAGGGAAGGGGTCATGCACACTGAATCATGTGGAAAGACTGAGATAATTAAGTAGGCAGCATAAATCCCAGTTGAACAAAAACAAAGGATGGATATGACTGTCCTATAAAAAGACTGTAAATAAGATTTGAGAGAGAATTTTTGGGAAGGTATAAAGAGGCGTAAGAAGGACTACTTGGGACAGCATTCATCAGCGGACTAAAAGTGGAGGGAGTATCTTGAAACTGAAAAGCAAATCATATTTTCTTTCCTGGAGGTTGTATGTGAGAAGGGGCCTCTGGAGGTGCCTGCTGCTGGAGCTGAGGCCTCTCACTAGCTCCCGACCTCGTCCCCCAAGGGCCCCAGGGCTGCTGGCACCCCACGGCCCTGTGCTGCAGGAGGTAACAGAAGACCTAGCGCCTGCTCTGAGACTGCTGCCCTGCAAAAAGCCAAGCAGAGAAAGAAACAACAATTCTTGGAGAGAGGAACAGCATTTCTTTGGTTTACTCATTCAATTGTAGACTTAGAGGCTTGAAGTAGTTCGGAACGGGCAGCTCTTGAAACGGAGAGAAGTCTGAAGAGGAACTTTAGGAATGTGGCAGAAAACAGGCCAAAAGGTAGAAAAAAATATGAAAATTGGAGATACCGCGAGGATGAGTAGAAGGCAGAATAGATCTCTTCCACCCTGAGATGTACCTGTTTACAGTGTTTTCTAGTTTTTTGGTTTACAGGTTACCAGAGTTTAGCCGGTCTTTCTTTAAGGGACCTCTTCAAAGTGCTTCCACACAACTTCCAGCAAACTAGTAGCTACATCGGGTCCAGCTTGGCTCTGGTCTGCTCTGTGACTACAGCTTGTGCTCTTGCCCATTACTGCTCTCCCTCATGGACGGGTTTCGTTCTGATATTGCTGAATAAGTCCTCTTATTCACCTTTAACATCAGGCTGACTAGGACTGCAGTCCTAAGGCTTTTGCACTGAGCTCCCAGAGAAGTCTGACGTTGTGGCCTTGCTGTAAAGAGTTGAGCAGAAGTCGTCAGTCAGATTTGTTGTGTTTCAGGGGAAGGTTTGTGATGCTTATGGTGGCTGCTGTGACAAGTGATTTTCCATTGATGAGGGGAGGAAGTTGTCCAAATTGATTCCAGAGTAGAGGCTGATAGTCAGACAAGGCCTGCGGGTGAAACTCTTTCCGAGAGACTCTTTGCCAGGAGTGCAGTCTTGTCCTTGCGGTCCGCAGCAGGGCAGAGCAAGCAGGAAGACGAAAGCTCTTTGCCTTTGTGCTAGCTGACTGCAGGGTGCCATTTGGCAGCTCCCCAGCCTGGAGATGGGTCAGAGACTGCGCTTCAGATGAAGGCACCGAAATTAATCTGGGTTCTGTTCTCAGTGCATCGGGTACTGAGTTATGAATCATTAGGCAGCCCTATTCATGGTGTCCAGAATAATGAATTAGCCACCTTCTGCCAAAAAACAAGATGCAGCAACGCCATTAAGGAAGGTTCTCATTTTTCTCTCTGCCAGGCACATACTGTCTCTTCCTTCTCTTCTGTCTGTAAAAACTGAACCATCCTCTGAGATTCATTAATGGATCTAGAGGTTTAACCATAGCACATTTCTGATTTCTGTATGGCCTCGTGAGCAGGCACCAGGAGTAGAACTCACCAGTGCTTTCTGGCAGATAGCTGGGGATATAAATGTTCCTATTTGCAAGTGAGAAAATAGGAGGAAAAGTGATATAACTATGAAATCAAAGGAGTTTTCAAAAATATGCTTTCTCGGTGCTCTGATCATTCAGCAGACTCAAATAACCTCTGCTGAGAATCATGTGGGCTGAGGAAGGCTTGGGAACAGAGTAAATGAAATTGTGCCTGTTTCTCCTCCCACTGGGGAAACATTGCTTTTCTAGCTTCCATTTAATGAGCAGTGCATAATTCAAGAGAATCCTGAGGTATCTCAAGATACTTCATATTTTTAATCTATTCCAGGCAACCTATTTTCTGCGGAAACTGTATCAAATCCATTTTTATGTCATCCAGTTTTAAGCAGGGAGCTTGCAGCTATCAGTTCCCCATCCAAATTGATACTGTGCGCCCTCAGGAGCCAGGACATAGATACTTGGATCCTATGAGGGAGGATTAAAGTCAGGCCATTGTACTTGTTCTCATAGCTGAACAGTTTGGTCACAAGATATGAAACTTTCAGTTTGAATCTTGTTTCTGACAAAAAGCTCATGAAAGTAGTTTTGGTTTCGGTACAACATGCTGCATTTCAGCTCAACTTCTAGAGGAGAGGGAGGAAGTCTGGGTCAGTAAGAGCAAAATTTCATCTCACCTGTATACCGTTCTGAGACAGGGAGGCACTGTAGCATTTTGCTGGCTGCAGTCTGGGCAAAAGACCAAGGAGCAAGGGGGCTTCCTTCTCACTCCAGAAATAAGCACAACCAGATGAACAGCAAGGTGCTTTGAGAAGACCTTCTTGCTTTGGAGGGTCTCTTTCTCTACCCATGAAGTCCTCTACAGTCTCACCTCTCGTGTGCCACGTAACTTTTGATGTCCATCATTGCTGCCCTGTGGCCTCATTGCTGCCTTAGCCCTTGGAGTGGCTGTTTTGTGGGGGCGTAACGGTGCAACAGCTAGTTCTGTTGACAGAACGGCCCACGTCGGACATCCCTGCAGACATCTCTCTCCGATGGATGCCCCAGCTTTTAGGGCTGCGGCTGTGCTTTCCCATAGTGTCACTGCCTTCAGACTTGTGCTGCCTCCCTGCCCCTTATCCTTGTGCAGTTCAACACATGAAGTCTCTTCAGTTGGATCAGGAAAAATGGAGAAGTCTTGTTCCTGAAGGAAGGAAGGTGCATTTCTTCCTTCCCTGGATGTCCTTCAGGAAAGAGCAAGGAGGTGGTTAGGCAGAAGCTCTTGTGGCCACGGTTCAGAGGGCTAGTTTATACACAAAAAAATGTGACCAACCTACTTCACTGAAGGTTGTGATTATTTTTGACCTGTTATATAGTTAATGATCTTACACAGGAGAGACCAGGATAAAGATTTTGTACCAAACTAGATTGAAAGACACTGAGCCAAGTACTTCTACACTGCTTCATAGAAAAGTTTTGCCACTAACTCTCTATTGTCATTAGTAAAAACAGCAGCACTCTAGTGTACACACGCCGGGAACGTGGGTCATTTTGGGGCTGGTACCAGACTTCATGCCAGACTTTGTCTCCCCTCCTCCCTCTTTCCTGTTTTCCCCATCCATGGAGCAGAATGGAAGGTTGTTACTAGCTCATGCGGGAGTTGAGGATTTGCTCATAAATGCCCATGGCTCACTCAGATACAACAGCCGTCAGTCAATAAGGGCATGCTGTGACCTTCAGGACATCAGCCCGAAGCCTGGCAGGACTGATGACGGTATTGCCGGAGCAAAGGGGCTGCAGAGGATGGCTGTCTATCATGAGTGTGACAGATCCACCAAAAATGTTTTGAAGCTTTTGAAATAAACCTCTAATTAAAAGGTCGGGTTGGGAAAGTAGGAGAGAGGGTGAAGGGGAAGGATGGAGGTAGGAGAGGGGTTTCTCAGTGCAAGACGAATAATTTCCATGGGGAGGAATTGCTCTGTGCCGGGCAGAGAGAAACGTGCTTGAACATTTGTATGAGCCCATCGAGGTCTGTTGACTTCTCTTTTGCTGTGCGGGTGGAGCCGAGCAGCTGCGTGTTGGCCCTCCCAGCTGTGCTCAGGTGCTGCTGGATGTTGGCGCTCCAGGAGGCCCCAGCATAGCCCAGAGAGGCTGCAGAAATCGCCCAGGTGGAGATGGTAGTGGGGCTGCATCACTCTTGCACTTGAAGGGTTTATTCATTTGTTGTTGAAAGAGGATCTTGATGGACTACAGGATTTTGGCTTCATAATTTTCTGGTGGCAATGTTCTTTTCAGACTCAAAAAAAAAGAAAATAACAGCTCAACCCAGAAGAGGAAGGAAGGCCTCCTCTAAAGCCCTAAAAAATGGGAAGACCATAAAAGAAGAGCTCCTACGCTGTGAACCTGGGGACTTGCACAGATAATGGAGAGCAGGCTTGCAGGACTGAGCCCCTCGTGCTGGGGGAGCCGTGCCTTCCCTCCGTGCCTCCCAGCGGGCGACCCGCTGTCGTGATGAGGTGCCACTGCTCACGTGCTTCTCTCTGCTTTGTTTTACAGAGTGACTTGTGGTCTTTGGGGATAACAGCCATAGAGATGGCAGAAGGCGCTCCCCGTAAGTAAATATATTACTCTGTTTTAATTAACATTTGAATTGTAATTTGGTGGGATTTGCTCAGCATCAGCCGGCGCTCGGTTCTCTACAAGAGACATCGTACGAAGGGTTCCCAGGCCCATCCGGGCTGAGGGAAATGGAGTTTGCAGGCTCTGTGGGGCATCAGAAAAGTGGCTTTGAAAAGCTGCCAGGTGCTGCCATAGGTCAGCGTGGCCCAGGGTGTGGATGGTGGGCCAAGATGCACAAACCACTGTATGACTTCTGGCAAGTCATTTAAGTGCTCTGTGACTCAATTTTCTAAAATGAAATAGAGATAAAGATATAGGTGAAAGAATGGAAGCAGTTAAAGCACTGCTCCTCAGCAGTACCATTTCATTGACCACCCTGGTGCCACAAATACCAGCATGTTTAATGTAGCTGGCACATCTGCATAATTCATACTGCCATGTTTTTTGAACGTTGTGGTGGGACCTTTCTTGTGTAGCAGTGAATACGAGTAAATAAAGCAGAGTGTAGTGGCACATGGTGTAGCTGTAGCATACTTCAGGTCGGTTCCCGCCAGCACCCAGCAGTGTGCTTGTCACGCACAGCGGTAGAGGCACAAACATCCAAGCTGGCCCCTGCAGCTGATCCAGAATGGTGCTGGGGGGTGACACACTGTTGTGGTGGGAGAAACGAGCTCTCAGTTACGCTCCAGGCCACCTCCAAAGTACTCCAGCTGGTTGAAAGCGTCTGGAGGGTAATGTCCATAAAAATTCTCCTGTCCTGTGGGTCTTTCAACTTCTGAATTGAAAGAGACTTGGGTCCTCCCCTCTTGTTCCTGTAGCCTGCCTTTAGGAAGCGCGCGGGGTCTGGTACTCTTTGTGCTGTGTTTAATGCCTCTTACTGCAACTTTCAGCTCTCTGTGACATGCATCCCATGAGAGCCCTGTTCCTCATCCCCCGCAACCCAGCCCCAAGATTGAAATCAAAGAAGTGGTGAGTCTCCTTCTCAGTCTTCAACTGCTGTAAAACATTTCGGAAGCAACTTGTTTTTGCAGCCCTAGTGCACTGGGGGTATTTTGTTTACATTTTTACAGCTTCAGGGGCCCATGAAAGTGTCTAGCATACAGTGAGTGCAGGTTTGGGCCTTGATCTCCTGTAGAGAGTCATTCTGACGTGCACGAGTCGCACACCGTGGGATGACAAGACTACTAGGTAGGCAGTGAGAGAAATGCTCTCTGACGTTGCCATTTCACAGTGCAGAGTTGGCTTTTCCAAGGCAGTTCATGCAGCCTGAAACCACATGACGCTTTGCTTGGCTCCTGTTTCTTTCCAGTGAGGTTCCGTTTTCAAGTGGAAACACGTATGCATGCCAAAAAGGGTAGTTTATCTTGAAGGCCCAGGAATGCAGAGATTTGTACTTAGTTTGGGCTTTATTTTAAAATTTTAGAGGAAAAAATACATCACTGTTTTGAAAAAAAAGCAGGGTATGCCAGTAAAAACCCTTAGGAAAAAAATATTTCTGAAGCCCAGCAGATGTTGTTTTGTTACTGTATGTTCTGTACTGATGGAGCAGGAGTCCTTAAGAACACTCATCTTTGGTTGGTGCTGTTTGCCCGCCCCAGGTTCA